TGCATTTTATCCTGCTGGTAGCAAAAAGAAGAAATGTTGCGATGACCTTATAGCTATAAAAACAGTCGTCCTAAGCCAAACATTATCGTCTATTGAATTTTAAGTTCAACATTTCATAAAAGTGGCTGTAAAATCTTAACTTTTCTGAAATGAAGAAAAATGAAGAAGAATGTGTTGCGCTTAGATTTAAAGAGAGACGACGCATAAGCCGTAAGAAAAGATGAAACGATTTTCCCGAAAGAACTTTTTACGACACATGTCATCAGACATTTCAAGGGAATACATTAATCCATAATCACGGCTGTGTAAGACGTTTTTCCTATGATGTTGCTTCTTGTAACTCTCCTTACAAAATATCAAGAATATGAAAAAGTCCCAATAGAACGATATCCTCGAAAGGAAGTTCTCTGGTACATATTCTGAGCAGATCGAAACTATGGCTCAATCGGTACAATATTCGCTGAATTCTGTTCGTATATTTTTTTCTTTTTATCAGGACCAAAAATGATGGAGAAAAAGTTCAACATAGCGAAGGCCGATTAAATGGGCTAAAAAGGAAATGCTTTCATCGCTAGAGTAGTCACTACGTAATCGGCATACATTGCTATCTCGTATCACCAGTTGTATCGGAAAATACACAAATAAACTCTTTTATCAGCGCTTCCTCTTCTCGTTCTTCTTTTGAAAGGAAGTTTGGTTCGTAAGTTAGCTCGAGAAAAAATTTTCCCTTCCGAGGGATACCCAACCCTCGCCCAAAACATGCTAAAATGATCGTGTTATGAAACAAGTAATTTAAAAAAAAAATAAATAAAAGTTAATCCAACTGCGTAAATTAATAAATTTTTTCTCTTTAATGCTATTGTAAATATTTTATGATTTTGTTCACATTAAAATTACATAGTATTCAAAATACACATAGAACAGACGAAGCGTTCGCTTGCTTTCTTTGTTAATTTTGCGCAATTTACTACAAGTTGAGGAATTGAGGAGCTTTTTGCCCTCGTGCAAATATATGTATATATTTTGTCATCCCCCAAAACACGAAAAAGCAAATTTACAGGGGTGTGTATAGAATGTGTAAACAAACAGAACAGAAGAGTCGCAGAAAATCTAAATGTTATAGGATAGGTTATTATATTTATTGTTATTGTTGTTATTGTATATATATATATATATATATATATATATAAATATAGCTATACATAGAAGAGAGAATAAAAGGACAACTTACGCACACGGTATGTTTTGAGCATGTGTATGTATGAATATATCAATAAATCTTTTAAAGAAATGTGCACAATACACCTATGTAGACTAACGTCTGTATTTGCATAGTAAAGACATTAAGGCTTTTAAGTACTTTCTAAGTTTTTCGTACCACTTTTTGTGAGAAATTTATTTCCCTTTACATTTAGGCGGAAACCAAAAATTTGCTTTTTCTTCATATCTCAATGATAAATATATGTAAAGGAACATTAGAGAGAAGCCCAAAGAGAGCTTAAAAGGCAAAAAAAAAAAGGAAAAATCGCATGTTTATTTGTATTATTAATTCATAGAAGGATTTACACATTTATAAATTTACGACTTTTTAAAGATCGTTTTTTCTATTTGTTTATCAATAGAGTCGAACTTTTGTTTATTCGAAATTTGTTTTTGTAAATTATAAAATTTAAATTGCTTTAACAACTCTTCTCTCCCTCTCTCTCTCTCTCTCTCTCTCTCTATGTATTAAGTTTTCCTTCTCCCTTATTTTTGCTATCTCTTTTGACCAATGCTTTTACATTATTTATTGCTACTCTCTTACTAATTTCCTTTCTCTTTCATTTTAGATAATTCATATCAATCTCAATTTAAAAATCAACGCAATTTCAACATAAAAATTTGCGCCGCTTTACCGCTGCCTTCTTTCAAAGCGGCAAAAGTAATGTTTTGTCCTAGGTAGGGTATTCTAACGCCTCTGCAAGCGTACATCTCCCCTCCCCACAACCGATATTAAACTTATTGAAAACAAGCACACCCGCGCATATATAATTATAAATTACATTAATTTTCATATAAACATTGTCTTATTGATTGAATTTTCATGAGTTTTTTTTAAATATAATTATCTCGTATGTAAATAAATATACGCATCTAATTTGTTTATAAAAAACATTCCATAAACGATTTTAATATTCGATCATTTTAGTCATGGCGATGACAATTGATAATTTTTCGTATAATACTATGTTATTAGCAGCTAACAGAGAGCAGAGCTTTAAAAACAATCACCGACGTTGTTATTATTTTTTTTTTTCCTTTTTTTCTTACACAATCTAAACTCTTACGCACATAACCAGCGGCACACTCATTAAAAAACCATGCACAACCATATATAAATTTTACATGGATGTCTTTTTTTTATGTAGTCATGTCTGTGTATGCGCATATATATGAGGATTTTAATATATATTTTAATAACAAGCTGCGTACTTTACAAAATTCTTTGTGTTGAATTTTATCCGAAAAAATTAATATAAATTAATTGGTAACCGCGTTTGTTTTATTTTCTTGTTTTTTGTTTTTTTTATTTTCTCGAGTGACAAGAAAAAGCCGCAATTTACAACGCCGTCAAATTTTTTTTTTATACGGATTTTCATGGGTTAGAAGATAATTTGTGCTTATAGTTGGAACCGTTCAGGTTTATGTAGCCGGGCACCCCGTCATAATTAATTAAGAAATGCTTTAATTCAAGCAAACATTTTAATGTGTGTGCCTAACCAAAATTCATTATTTTTTATGTATGTTATCGCAAAAACAGAAATATAAGAAATTGAAAGTAGTCTACAAAATATACACGCATTACACCTCCTTTCCCACCTTTTATACGAAATTTTAATATTTATAAAAATGGGAGTAAAAGATTTTCGGCTGAATTCACAATGATGCGTATTTCCTATACTGTTTATTATTTATTTACAATATTAATAATTTTATGTATATTTTAATTATTTAATTGTAAAAGTATTTATTGTGCATCTTCTCAGTATTGATATTTACATATATTATTTCGCACAAGCTTCCGCACGACAACACTTCCTTTACTGTTCAAAATTCAAAACTAAAACAAAAAAAATGGAAAACGGTTAAAATGGTTATAATCAAAGAAATTCCTCTCAGAGCAGTAACATTTTTGCGAATGAACGTTGTATATACGTATTTACGTTTATATTTATTGTAAATCATATATACATATATACATTTATATTACTCAATACTTTGGAAAAAATGTTGTTGGATATTTTTGAGAGTAAAACTTTTGTTTTCCTCTGTTGATACAAAAGCCTTCTTTGAGAATGAAAATGGTTTTGATGCCCAAGTCTCTTTTTTTCTCTTTTCTGAGAGTACAACGAAAGTCTCTGTTGATATGGAAGTCTTTTTGTTTTGTATTATTAAATTTATTTATAACGAGAAAATAATAAGAAAGTTGAACAAATTTGTGATTGGATTAAGGTTGAGTTATCATTTATAATAGAACATGCAAATAAAAAAAAAATTTAAGCTAAAGAAGACGATCTAAAATATGTGTTTAAGATTTATATTCATAATCATGTAAGCAATTGCAAGCATTCTCTACTAATTCTTTCTGTTTTTGAGGCACCTCTCAGAGCAAAAAATATTTTACAATAACAATGCCCACAACACCTTAATGTTGCCATTTAATCCTCTCATAGTATTGGTGGAGAGAGAAAGGGAGAGAGAGAGAGAGAGAGAGAGAGAGACAGTGCGGAAAGTAAAGAAGAATTTACTAAACTCTTGGTTAAAAACTTCTCAAGATACATTAAAGATTACAGTAACAGTGTTACGTTACTTATTTCTCATTATTTTAACAGTGTTGTTAACGTGACAAGACAAGAAAAAGCTTACCAATAAACGAATAACAAAAGTGCCAAGTTCAAAATGTATATCAACAGCACGGATTTATTTTTTATTTTACATTTAAACATATATGGAGAAAGTATTACCGCAGAGTGGGGTACGATTATGCAATAAATCTAAATGCGTCATTGAAGGATTCTTGATAGTTGTTTATAAATTTGCAACATGGACGTTTATTAATGGGATTAGCAATACGCGCTAGATGGTCGGCGTTAATACTTATTTATAAATTTTTATATATATTTTTTTGCCGGTAAAACTCTTACTCTCTTTGCTGAATTTCATTCTGCCTCTTATTCTTTGCATTTTCTTTCGTCAAATAACGGTTTTACTTATTGAAACACTTATACGCATTGGAAAGAAATAAGAAATTTTAAATGTTTTATTTAAGCCAAACTTTCGGCATCCTTCACGTATTAAATGTTAACAAAACATTCTTAATTGAATAAATTAAGATGTTGGAATATTGGTATGGTCGCATTTGGATTTAAGAAATTCGTTTTGTAATTGGGAAAGCATAAGATTATTGATAATATTTATTATTAATAATAATTATACCTCTACCGATTGCTCAAATTTCTTCTTCTCACAAACCTTAATCTCAATAAACTCCCGGACAAAGCTCATCCCAGCTCAGCTTTGTACGTATACTTGCAGTATATGAAAATAAACAAAGTTTAATACAAATACTTACGAGAATCGAGTAAAACTTTAGAGGAAAAATACTGATGATGACAAAAAATTCGTCTATAAAAACGCGTGTCAGAGCAGACTTCACATGCTCTAATGGACCTCGTCTATGATTGAGAAACGTTATTGCTGTTTGTCCGACAGAAGTCACAAACTGAAAATTAACATTGTTCATAGGTAGATAGCAGCGTGGCAATGTCTAGACTTTTTTAACCAATGGTCCGAATACTATTTGTGAAATCGTTTTACTATTTATTGGATAGAAATTAAAGTTTCCATATGTCTATTTTAAAATAATCTGACATTAGTTTATGTATAGTAATGATATTGAGATAATTATTTGTTAATACATGTATTAATGCTGATGCATATATGTATGCTTCTTCTTCAATGATTTATCTTTTTATTCATAAAAGATGACGAGAGCTTGGTTTCCAAGGAGTAGAATACAATTTATAAAATTCAAAAAAACCCATTTGCCAAAATACAAGATTTAAATGAATCCAAAGCAATGAGAACTATGGGAAAGAAATATATAAAAGAATGGCACCGCAAACACCGGATCATTCGCTTTTTTAATCAGAATTTGTGGCCGGTGAACGCGTAAAAAAAGATAGACTATCGAGTTTTGATTTTTTGGATTTCTTACGCTTCTTCTTTTTTTCACGCGATTTTTCCTCTTTATCGCCATTTGAATTACCTACAGCGGCTGCAACCGCTGCGATAACTGTTAATTTTTTTAGTTTTTCATGTTCTTCAAGTTTTGCGAGAGTTTCTTGCTTAAGACGTTCTAACTCTTCAAGTTCACGAGCAGTTTTCTCTTTTTCCAAATCTTCTAAACGCTGTTTCTCCGCACGTTTTTCTTCTTCTTTAGCGATTTCTTTACGCATGTGATCCTTAAACATAAGCACAGCTTCAGCACGTTTTTGTTGTTTTTCACGTGTAATTTTCTCTTTGTCGTTATCGTGCGAATTTGCTGATGATGACGTTGTCGGATGCGATGAAGTTGAAGTGCTTGGTTTAGTAATGGATTCCGAAGGTTTTTTTGGTGAATGACGGTCATTGGACTGACGGGGCGGTTGATCACGTGAACGAGAACGTTTAGAGGCATGAGATAATGAGCGTTTACGAGGACGCTGGCGGGATGGTGTACGTGATCGAGATTTAGAGCGACGGTCACGACTGCGACGCAAGTCGTTACGGCCCCGATCCCGTCCTCGATTGTGCCTCATTGAACGACTCAAAGAACGAGATCTACTGCGAGTGCGATCGCGTCTGTCACGTGAACGTCTACGGTCCATTGAAGATCTGCGGCGTATAGGCGAAAGCGGGAAACGATTCCGATATCGGTCCATCGAACGTGATCGACGACGTCGATCTCCAAATGGATTACCTCTACGACCGCGGAAATTATTGCGTCGTAAAGGAGAACGAAAAACTTGGCGTCGTGCATTCGAACGTCGGCGACGAGCAGAATGTGATCGCGACCGTGAACGGCTAACAGAAAGTGATTGAGATTTGGACCGTGTTCGAGAACGTGACCGCGATCGTTTCGGCTTGTCTCTTTTGCTCGAAACTTTTAAGTCCTTGCTGTCGGTTTTATTAATTTTTTCACGTGGATTTTGATTTTCTGAACTGTGTTCTTTGCGTACGGGTGAAGATTTCTTATGTTCTCTAACAGACGAGATGGTACGAATATTTTTCATTTTTTCCATTTCAGCTAAAGCATCAGCTTCGTTTTCACTTTCTGGCTGATGCTCGTAGTCCAAAGCATTTAAATCCACTGACTTTTGACGTATGGGCGAAGACTTTTTCTTTTCATCGTTCACGGTTTTCTTGCGATCGTTTTTCTCAACTTTGCTTTCAGACTTGGCGTGCTTACTGTCATTTTGCTTGCGCTTATCTTTTTCGCGTTCTTTATCTTTCTCACGTTCTTTCTCTTTCTCGCGTTCCTTATCCTTCTCGCGATCTTTTTCCTTTTGCTTTTCTCGCTCTTTTTCCTTTTCCTTTTCTCGCTCTTTTTCCTTTTCCTTTTCCCTTTCCTTCTCCTTTTCCTTTTCTCTATCACGCTCCTTTTCGCGTTCGTATTCCTTACTATAATCTTTCTCCTTAGAGTTTGCACTTTCTTCGTCACGGCGTTTCTTATTATCTCTACCGGAGACTATTAATTGTTGCTCATCTTTGTAGTTCTGCGATGCTTCAAAAAATGGTTTCTTCGAATCTCTCGCCATTTCTTCGTGTCGTCTTTTACGTTCAATTTCGCGGCGTTTAATCTCTTCCTCTCTTAGTTTCTTTTCTTCTTCAATTCTCTCCAAATCGGACATTTTTATTGTACGGCTTTGAGCTCTCTTCCAATGTGGAGGCGTATTACTGCGTGAACGAGACCGTGAAGGTGTGCGAAAACGCTGAAAATTTTATTAACAAAAATAAAGATCCATTGAAATTATGGGAATAGAGAAAAAACTTACAAATACGCCACGTCCTTTAATGATACGTCCGCTACGTGAAGTCGGTACCTTCTTTTTGGACCAACCAAATGTATTGCGGCTTTCGTTTTTTTCAAGTCTATGGCGTTCGTCTTTTTCCCGTGACCGATTTACCCGATCACCGCGCATAAGGAATTTATTAGAAACCTTGCAATGATATTAATTTAAGATAATAAGGTACAAAATCCGAATATTCCAAAGCTATTTGTGAATACCTCAGGAATTTCATCAGGATCAATTTTAGTTATCGACACCAAGGGATGTAATTCACCTTCTTCCACCTCCGAGGCTTCACCTTCTTCTATTCCTTCGTGTCCGGAAATGGACCTGAAACGTTTCAAATGTATTATTAATTCAGCTAATGCAAGAGCAATTCTTCTCTCAAAGATATTTTGCTAACTTTTCTTTTTCGCTCGATTTCGAGCGTTTCTTTTTCTTCTTTTTATCCTTGCGTTTGGAACGTTTTGCTGCTTCCGAATCGCTACCGTCATTTTCGCCCGAAGAAGCAGTTGCTCGTTTCTTTTTCTTTTTGTCTTTTTTAGCTGCAAGCAAGCATAGAATTTATGACGTAAGTGTCCTACAATAAGTGTATATAGAATATACATTTATAAAAAAAAAAAATGCCCACCTTTAACCTGACGTACCAATTCACCGCAATTATGAATAATTGCGTCTTGTAAAGGACGCGAATTACGATCGACTGGCAAACTTTCCAATTGTCGTACAATAGCTTGTCCCGTTATAACTTGACCAAAGACAACATGGACACTGAAAAGTTTTAAACAAACGGAATTATTACACTTGGTCAGGACTTTTGATATATAACATACTTGTCCAAATGTGGTGCAGGCTGTGTAGTACTACAATGAAAAACAGAAGAAGAGAAAAATATTCTTTACAGTCTGTGCTTATTTTTGTATTCAAATGGTTGAAGAATATTTCTACAATTTTTTTTTTTTTTTGTTTTGTGAAGGGAAGAAGACTTTAACACACTTTATAGAAATTGATATTTTTGTCTCTAAAACAGCGCAATTAGGATTTTTTGCTCTAAATTTAAAGCAAAGTAGCACAATTAAGGAGTATAGCCTCTGGTTGATGGATTTCGTCTCCCGCTTTAACCTGGTGAATTACAAGATATACATAAACCACATAAGCCATCCTTGCTGGTACCCGGCCCGGTTAGTTGTTTAGTATAATTCTGAGATCATCGTCATTAAAATGGTAAATAACATAATAAACAATATGTCCAGTTGATCATTTTTTATGTATTCAGAGAACATGTGCCACAATTATTGCTATGATGTAGTTTTGCTATATAATAAATTGATAAATATAACATCAAATCTTTTTATATTATAATTTTTTTTTTTTAAGTTTATTTGAAAAAAAATTAAATGAAAAATATAATAAATGCTGGAAAATAAATGAATGTCATTAATAAGAAAGCGCTTGGAATCGAATTCAAATCAATTGTAATACTTACATAAAGAATTGTGAGCCATTCGTGTTTTTACCACGATTGGCCATCGAAAGTAGGAATGGACGATCATGCTTTATTTCAAAGCTTTCATCTAAACCGGGAGTAAATAAGACAAACAAAAGCTTTAAAATAAGAAAAAGCTTTAATTCATTTAATAAGTGCAACTAAATAGGAAAGTTCCGAACATTAGATACGTTTGCTATCAATTCTACCCATGGTGGACTCATCAAAATAAATCTACATTGCTTCATTTTGATACGGTCGAATTTTTCATGCATTTAAAATGCTTTCTTAAAATTTCTTTCATTGACCAGTACTACACATTAACGGTTTTATTTTGCCGGACTGTTACTACTTCGTAAACCTTGCAAATATTTTCTCGATTTGGCATAAGATTTCAATTTTCGTAGAAACAATCTGCCAGCAATAGTCCTACGTAAAATTCTAAACGAATTATTAGAAAACCTAAAATATGTAAACATTATAAGGGTACACCCCCAAAAAAGAACCAAGGGCGAGAATCTCTCTCTATCCATAAACATTATTAAGCCATATCCCCAATAAAGAATCGAAGTAAAAAAAAAAAAAAAGAAATTAAATAAACTAATTTCATTTTGATGATGAAGGAAACTGTAAACCACAAAATTATTTCAACTTACCCTCAAATGTCCCACCATAAATTGATTCGCCGCCAGTGCCATTGCCAGCTGAAAAATCACCCGATTGTATCATAAAATCCTTAACAACACGGTGAAATATGACATTTTTATAGTATAAAGGTTTTCCCGTTGCTTGGCCGCTGCCTTTCTCGCCGGTACAAAGAGCCCGAAAATTCTCTGCTGTTTTTGGTGCTACATCGTTAAACAGTTCAAACACTATACGGCCTATTTGCAAGCTACCACCAAGTGATATATCAAAAAAACAACGCGTTCGATTTACGGTGCCATGAGCGTTACCATGAGCCATTGAATTACCCACCGTCATTGCCAAAATATGAAAATATATTCACTTTATTTTAATTATTATTGAAACATTCAATAAAGTAAATATTTTTATATTATATATATATATAATTTTTTTTAAGAGAAACCACCGATTTTCACAAATATTTTATGCAAGTCCATTGAAATTTTCTTTCGCTTTGGTTGTCAAACGATAAAAATTATGAAACATTAGAGATGCCAGCTTCAGATAATATGCCAAAAAACATCCACAAATAATCAATGGAGAATTTACGATATGAAACGAAATAAAAACGGAATGATTTTAATATGAAGATATAATAATAGAGATGTTTTCGTTTTTTTTCTTTTATTTTACTCATTTGATAAAGATTTATTAGGAGGACGGATGACAAGCAAGTGTAGTATTAACAGTTTAAACAGATGGTTTGTTAAATAAGCTAATAATGACGTGTGTATATCCATTTTAGCTTTGAATAAAGACTGTAATCAATTAGAATTGATAGGAATTCTAATGCAGAATAAAGACGGAATTATACACATACTTATATCCGCCTGAGTGGACGAGTAGGCAAGAGTCTCGACTAGCAACTCCAATGGTCGTGGGTTCAAATCTCAAGTGCGGTAGAGTTCTTAATAAAGCCGATAGCCTTAGATGCTGGTGCTTTAAGACTTAGAATTTATTCTCTGGCTAAATTTATAATAATAATAATAATAATACACATACTTACATTTTAACAGATTTGTCCCTTTGCTTAACAGAGTTGAATGGCGTTACCATTTAACAGAGTTGCCATTCTTAGACTTTTGTTTTATTTATTACAAGCAACTCTCTGCTTTGCCTTTTAACAGGAAATTTAGCGAGGGCTTTGTTTAATTGGATAATAAAAATGATGGCCGTCTAATATTAAGCTAACTTGTAAAATTAAAGAAATTTAGTTGGGAAGAAAAGTTTTCAGAATTTGAATGAGATAAATTTTTGAAATTTTAAAATTCGTTGTAAAGAATTGTTTTTATTATTTTTATTATCGTTATTATTATTAATTTCGCCAGAAAAATAAATTCATTAAGCTATTGGCTTTATTGAAAACTCTACCGCACTTGAGATTTAAACTCACGATCATTGGGTTATTGTTAGCCGAGATTCTTTCTAACGATAAAATTTTAATTCCAATGTATTTTCAAAATATTCTAAGGCACATTAGCACGTCCTTGGAAATATCTTTAATTGCGTATGTGTCTCGTTCATATCGAATCAATTCTTTATCAATGCAGAATTGCTCTTAAAGCAAATCAGGACATGGTTGATTTTATGGGAAAGTGAAAGTGCACGTTCTTTTGAAGAAGAAAGTCGTCGCTCACCTTATATCACAAACCAGCAAGACGACATCACAAGTCCAAGGACAACTACCAAAAATCAATCCAAGAATTTAGATAAATCGGGAAGCATGGCCCCATAATAAGGTTAAGATTAATTAAAAACATTAGCAGCAACGGTTATTACTTTAAGCCCAGTTAATCCCAAATAACTGGCCTAGATAATGATTTGAAAGTTTTCCGCTAATAATAACATTTTTTTGCTTCAATCAAGTATTAAACTTTCATAAGGAAAGAAAATTGAATTTAAATATTTTTTACCCTTAATGTATATATGATTTTTAATTCAATAATATACTTCTCAATCAAAAAAGATTCAACTCGAATGTATAGATACATGTTTACATGTAAAATATATAGTAAATCTGAATCATAATAATTTGCATAAATCAAATTGCACAACATAAGATAAAGAAATTAAACACAGAATTTATCTAAACAATTTAAAACTATTTCTAAGACAGAGACGAAATAGATTATTAATCAAAAAC